AAATGGCACTTTTTTTAGCTCCAAAGAAAGGGGAACAATACAGCCATTTATAACCCCCAATCTAGCAGAGACAATTTCCCGACTCACTCTACCAGGATCATATTGTCATCAGTTCCAAAACATCCTCCAAGCACTGATTCAGCAGTTCCACGGCCTCCAGAGGATGAGAAGTTGGAAGCAGGAGGCAAAGATTAGTGTCATCTGCACTCTTCGGCCCAAAGCTCTGGATGACTCCCCCCAATGGTTTCATGTGATGTTGAAAAGTATTGAGAAAGAACAAAATCTGTCAGCACACCATACGACAGTGGTAGTGGGAAGGAATAAATATTTCCCAGCACCACTTATTAAGGTTGTAAAGGACCAAAACTACCAAAATATTATGATTTCCAAGCCCAACTCAGACTTGGTATTGAATAATAGACTCTGCTAGAGATATGTGGGAGAGATTTATTCCACTCCCTTCACCCCACTAGGTTATGGTAGCCCAGGACATGCTAGCATGTTCTGCTACCATTAAAATGGAAGTAACGCAACTCTTCTCAGTACGTAGTTGATGTGGCTTCCATTCTGGCTTTCAGAATCTGCACCTTGGAGGGGACTACAGGCAAGTCACCTTCACTATACAGTAGTCTTAGAGAGAGGTTATAAGACAGGCTGAGGGCAAGAAAATGAAAGAAAGAGAGAAAGAGAGAAAGAGAGAAAGAAAGAAAGAAAGAAAGAAGGAAAGAAAGAAAGAAAGAAAGAAAGAAAGAAAGAAAAGAAAAGAAGTAGGGAGAGAGGGATGTTGAAGGAGAGGCTTGGAGGAGAGAAAAGGTTGCAAAATAGGTATATGCGAAAGCTGGGTTGTGAGTTCTCAAAATTGGAGCTTAATTCCCCTTTTCTCTCTCCCCCCCTCCCCCATTTTGAGAGGGACGTTGAAGGAGAGGCTTGGAAGAGAGAAAAGGTTGCAAAATAGGTATCTGCGACAGCTGGGTTGTGAGTTCTCAAAATTGGGGCTTAATTCTCCTTTTCTCTCTCCCCCCCTCCCCCATTTTTCTATTTCTTTTCCTGTTTGTTTCATCTACCTCACTGGTTCTTAACCTTTGTTACTCAGATGTTTTTGAACTGCAACTCCCAGAAGCCTTCACCATCAGCTCTGCTGGCTGAGGTTTCTGGGAGTTGCAGTTCAAAAACACCTGAGTAACAAAGGTTAAGAACCACTGATCTACCTGGTTCCTAAGGCTGATACGGAAGGCCTTGTTATCAATCATGCAGCACAATAAGAAAGGGCTGCCTTTTCCGGAGCTTGGAAATTAAATCTTGGAATCTTAAACTTAGAATTGCAGAGCTGGAAGGAACGCTATGGATCATCGAGTCCAGGTCTTGTTAGGAAGGCACAGTGGGGGATTGAACTCCCAGCCCGAGTCCAGGCCTTGTTAGGAAGGCACAGTGGGGGATCTCAGCCTCTGCTTCTACAGCCAGTTGACTAAAGCACTGAGCTATCCAGATCCTTTTGCTTGCTACAACTCACAAGAACTCTCAGCCAGCGTTGGGAACTCTAATCCAAAACCAGTAACTTTTCTGAGTCCCGTCCTCTGGTGACTTTTATTTGTGAAACACTCTTTCTCCTGAGCTGACTTAGCCAGTTTTGGTAGAACACCTCTTGACACTGACCTAAGGATGGTATGAAGTTGTTTCCTTCCACATGGTGACACTGTGGACAGAATGGAAATTATGATGAAAGGTTTTAATCGGATTTTGTTTTGTTTTCATGCTTGCTTTAATCAATACATGTGTGGGGCCAAACTGTGAATTATGTATACACACACATACACACATATATACATAGGCAGATGCCTAATAATAATTACATCCCCTCAGGCTGATTTTGCTTTATAGCAGCCCTTTTCAGGTCTTTCTAAGTGTAAAATACTCAAATGTTACTTTCCATTCTCTTCTTAACGAGAGCACGCTGGGATTTGGCCAAGATCACGAAAGCTGGCTCTTCCCCTGCAATATTGTTAGGCACTTGGCAGGCAGGTAAAGACCAATTTGGGGGGGGGGAGGAAGTATGATAATGAACAGACAAAAAACATACACCCAGTGAATTAAGATAAAATCAGTGCTACAGGTAGAAGAAAGGAAAATGAATAATATGGCATAGCAGGTGTGCTGATAAATGGCTCCTGCAGTTTTATTTATAATAGTTTATTTACAGTCCTTAGATCAGTCACGTAAGTATAAAACCTTAAAATTTCTAACTTTCAATATTCCATTAGAACGTGTTGGCATACATACAACTGGGAACTGCAATCTAATTGGTATTTAACTTCCGCAATCGAAATATTGCTACACAGAACCTCGCAACCCGACAGGTGATCTGCACATCAACATCCGAGAGAAGGAACTCAAGCCTATTTCCCTCCGAACGTCCTGGCAATCTATCTATTAAGGGGGTTATAGTCTCTTTTCGCACTGCTTCATGCAGTATATATGGCATGTATTACTATTGCGGAAACATATATTCACATGATTTGGGGGCATGTATATTTTGTCTTTATTATTTATCATACTTGTGATGTCCAATGCTTTTCTAAATTGTTTATTTATTTAAAAATTAGTTAGATAGTGGTTTGTTTGTTTATTTGTTTTGTTCTGTTTTGTTTGATTGATTGTCAATTTGTATTTGTATCTTTTTCTCTGGCATTTTACTCCTTCAGTGGGTACCACACACAACATCACTGCTGTTGCTACCTCTCAAGATCTGGATCAGCCCCATTTTCCCTTGAGCTGGAGGGCTGGGGTGCTGCTCACCTCTCGCTCAACAAAAACAGTTTCTGGTTGTTGTGGGTTTTTCCGGGCTCTTTTTAATGAAACTAATGAACAGTTTCATTAAAAAGCAGCCAACGGCAACAACTGCTGAGGCTGAAGACAACTCAGATATAGTCACAGCCCATGACAAAGCAACCCAGAGGTTTAATCAGCTGCACTGTCACACGCAAGGGGCAGAAAGAGATGTGGCAGGAAATATGTTATAAAATGCCAGGCATTTGCATTTTAAAAATCTCTGAGTCACTTGGGACTTAAATGACATTTATGGTTCTTGAGTACTTGAAGCTGGAAACTCTTCTTCCTCAATTCTGGTTGTCGGGAGAAGTAATTTATGGCCCTCTGGTCTTAGGAGGGCAAGAATTCACTGCTACTTTTTCTCCTCTTCCATACGTTGGAAGATTAATTTCTATTAGTACTCCATTAAGGGGGCATTTGCATATTGGGATACAAAATAAACGCATGGCAGGCATTGCTGGTACAATTTCAGCCATTGATTGACAATTACACTATTTTGCACTTCAGTTCAAGAGTCCTCTATACCTATAGAGCTTCTGATACATTCTTGAGCCAAGTGGCTGACAGCCCTATCAATATAAGAATATAATGCACAAAAATTTAAGAGCTAAAGAACAGCACTTCTGGGTCAGATCAAAGAGCCAACAAATCCAACTCTGTTCACCCAACGGTGCGGTAACAAAAGCACTCCTAGTTTTATATACTCCAGTGACTGATACAGGTAGACTACCTGCCTTTGATACTTCAGGTGACACATATTTGACATACAGTGCTGGAGGAGAATTTTGTAGATACTGTGGACCACCAGAAACAAAAAACAAGGGAATAAGACAATACAAGAGGACTGCGGTATCCATGGGGGATCAGTTCCAAGCCCCCCTGCGGATGCCAGAAAAATGTGGAAGTACTGAACGCTATACATCGGATGATCTTTGGTTTCCTCTAGTGGGCAGTTCTGGTAAATACACCTTGGAAATACTTTTTTATTTAGTTAAAAATAGGGACTTTTACAGTGGTGCCTCGCAAGACAAATTTAATTCGTTCCGCGCTTAATGTTGTCTTGTGAAAAAAATTGTTTTGCAAAATGCGTTTTCCCATAGGAATGCATTGAAATCTTATTAATGCGTTCCTATGGGCGAAAAAAGTCAGAACAAAGTCAAATTTGGTTTACAAAGGGTTCATTAAGTGCTCTTTAAAGCCATACATATTGTGCAGGTAATTTAAAAAATTTCAATCAAAAAAACTTTAACTTTTTAAACATCATAGAAAAACATTTAAAAATCAGCAAACATGAGGCAGGAACAAAAAACGGAAAACATTCTTCTTGCGAAGCATGGCCATAGGAACATTCGTCTTGCAAGTCATCAACCTTATTGCCAAAACCATTCGTCTTGCGAGTTTTTTGTCCTGCGAGGCATTTGTCTTGCGAGGCACCATTGTACTTAATATTTTCAGCCAGTGGATAAGTGACTCAGTAGATACTGATCCTGCAGATAGAGAGGGCCCTGCTGTAATACGAGATACAGTTGAAGGCAGCAGGAAAAGACGAAGATCGAATATGGGATTGACTTTAAAAAAGGAAGCTACAGCCTTGAATTTGCAAGAGTCAAGCAGGACTGTGAATGATAGGATATTCTGGAGGTCACTCATTCACAGGATCACCATGGGCTGGAAGTGACTTGATGTCACATAACAGTATCAGTATTACAAAATGGCAATTCCATCCACACCATGCATAATTTAACACACCCATGTCAGATCTCCTCTTACTTGCTTTTTTTCCTAACCTAAACAGCTGTAAATGACCTTGGAACCTTTCCTTAAAGAGGAGTTGCTCCAACAATGTCATAATTTCAGCTGCCTTTTCTGCTGATCCATTGTGCTACAGCACCTCTTTTTAGGAGCAGTGGCCAAAACTGTACACGATAAATCCAAATGTGGATGCACCATACATTTGTATAAAGATGGTATAATACCAGCAAGTTTATTTTAAATTTCTTCTGTTATCTTCGGTTGTATTGAACTATCAGTTGGTAACAGTGAAGGCATTTTTTTTCTGAGGTTAATTGCTAATTTGTTCCCCTGTTGGAAACAAGCAGCATCACAAAAAGGGGAACTGTATTTGTGTGTATATATAGCAGTCATTTCCCCTTGTTTTCAGCACTACACATGCACAAGGCCAGTCCTATCCGTCTCCCCTTCCACCCTGTAGTTACAGAACACGGAAAAGGTGTTCTTCAATCTCCTTTTGTTCTGACAACTCTTGATTGAGTAACCTGGGAAAATCTTCCTTGCGTTTTCTGAGTTGTCTATAAAACCACCGCTTGAGAATCTTCCATTAAACAACGATGTACTTTAAAGGTCTTTGAAAAATTCCAAGCCAAAAAAATGAGGAGGTACAAGTAAGTAGCTATGAGGAAATATTTATATTTCTTTATCAATCTATCTATTTATTGGAGGGGGAATAGGAGGAGCAAAGATTAGTCGACAGCATCTTTGTGGAGACAGCTTGCATAAGAAATGATGGTCAGCTTGATTGTTCAAGAATTTAGAAACCTTTTTGGCGAAATAGAACAAAGAGCAGGCTGAGGGCTGATGGGATTCTGCAAGTGTTTCATTCTGTAGTAATAACTGTGCCAAAGGGTTCATGGAGCTATGTACATTTGGGATACGAATGTTAACAATCTGTATGATTATAACTGCTAAGCTCAGCCAATGGATAAAAGATTGCACTAGTGGTTTGGTTTGGCTTGGTCTTATGTATTGTGTTGTTTATGTAGGGATCTAGGAATGCCATTGTTTAAAATTATTTTATTTTGTTGATAAATAACTTCGAGAAGTCAAAACATCTCCAAGATCTGGGTTTCCTTCCAGTTCGTAGTTTTAGTTTCATAAATAATTTTTGTTTTGGAATGAACATACCTGAGAGAGAGAGAAAAGACAGGTTTCCTGCTTCAAGAAAAGAGGTATACTTCCAGTATCTAAAGGGCTCCTGTCTCACCGAACAGGGTCCTCTCCTTGACCAAGGTTAAGTGTTAAAAAGCATTTATTTGAAGTAAACTTCACCAGTGTTATTTCCAGTTATACATCTATCTAAGATTTGCACACTATGTTTCCACTATGCAAGTGTCTCTTGTAGGAAAGAGAGGAGATGTTTGCTCTTATGCGGAGGTCCATTTTCTTTGGAATTTTGTCTTATTGAATAATTTGTTTTGTTCCTGAAAATGCAGAATACACCAATCCCCCCCATGGTTCTGGTTCTTACTGCTGCATTGTTGTGGAGCAGAGCAGAGCCGGAAACTTCCTTTCTTGGGCTTCCAGAAAGGTCCAGCTAGCTGGAATGTTCTGAGAACTGAGAACCATAATCTAAAAAGGTCTGTTCCTAAGGGTGCATAACCTCACACCTCTCAGCATTTTTTACTGCTGTTCTTCACATCCCTCTCTTTCTACAACAGTGTTACATCTTTGCTATGCTAAAGCAATACATTCAGGGGAATGCTGTTTGAAAAATATCCATGCAAGGTCAATTCCAGGCGGCTTCTCTGGAGTTAATGCAGAGAGATAACAAGTCTTGTCAATTCAACACAAGCTCCCTGTGTGTGCATGTGTTGTGAGGCACTCACATATGGCTTTTGAACAAATGGAGCGTCTCACTTGAAGCAGGAAGAACAGCCCTAGTGTAGACAGGAGACAGAAGGATCTATTCCAAAGAACTGCATAGGGTCCCATATTGCTGCTGAATGTCAGTGTGGTGCAGTGGTTAGAAGGCGGCTGAAGAATGCATGCTTTCCAGCTTTTGTTGGACTGCAACTCCCATCAGCAGGGCCACCTTTGCCATCCACAATGTACTTTTTTCCAAGGTTGGGAGTGCATTATGCTGCTGGCCCTCTGTTGGCACCTTGCATTGTTGAGCAGAAGTTCATCTCCCTCCTCCATATCCCAGAGAGTATGCCTAGCCTGCCTCTGGCTTTCTATCATCATGCCCCCAGTTGGTATTGCTCCCTTTGGCTTCCACCACCTGAGGTCCTCCACAGTGGTGCCACCAAGGCACCATCAGTCGCTGATCTAGATGCTACAGATGTGTTCACCTACTGGATATGACACTTTTGAATAGGAGCTGGACAGCCTCTTGGCTCTGAGCAGTGGTGGGTGAGAACCAGAGCCCCCGGAATGCAACACCTGAGGGCGGGCATTGTGTTTGGGTGAGGGAGAGAGAGATGAGCCAATGGCAACTGCATCGATGCATTGCATTTTGAGAGCTCTAAGACCCCCCCCCCAAGGAGCAGCACATGAGTAGAAAACCAGCCACAGCATGAGCCATAGGCAAGAGGAGGGCATGATCCAGAGGAACAGGGACTATATAAACCTAGCTGTGGTACAGTCCTGCCTCAGGATTTACCTTCTTCTCCAGGACTGCACCACTCACTCTTCCTGGGCTCTTCTTTAGCTGTCTAAAGGCAAAGTTGCTGAAATGCAGGGATGCTGGTGATATCACTGGACATGAAGACTCACGAAAGCAAACCTATCCTTGATTTTGAACAGCAAGGTTCAGCACCATGAGTTGAGTCTACTTCTGTTGCATGCTGTGACACCCTTCTTCTCCTCTGCAGGTTCCAGTGGGTCATCCCTCATTCTTCACTTTCCTGTTTTCTATGGAATACAGTGCCGAGACTCCTGTATATTATCAGTACTCATACATTGGATACATCCGCCTTCCGAATCCAGCGTGTGGAAAGTGCAGGTGAAAGCAACTATCACCATGGCCAAATTCCTCATCCAGAATGTTCATGTGTTCTTGCCCCTCCTTCTCTTCGGCCTCCTTTTTAATACAAAATAATTCTGCTTTTTATATAGCTGACTGCCAAGACCACATTGTACGTTTCATACCAACATTTGCGGTGGCAGGAGAACCTGTGGTTCTGAAATGTCCTCCTTTCAGATACGGGCACACAGATCCTCTTGATCTCTCCCTTAACTTCACCTGGTACAAAAATGGTTCAACAACACCCATCCCTTCAGAGAAGGTGGGGAACAGAATATGGTCCCAAGGGGATGCTCTTTGGTTTTTACCAGCCTTTCTGGACGACTCTGGGGAATATATCTGCTCTCAAAGGTAGGCATCTGACACATAAGAATATTGGCTAGCCATGGGTAGTTAGTTAAGTAACATGGGAGTGAAAGGGACATCAAAGGCTTAAAGGCAATCAATTTTTATATGGCAGATCTGTGTTGTATTGTTATATTTAAGACTTGGTTTCTTTTTCACTATGGAATGATGGTGTATATACGTTTGAGGTCATAGATGAAATGTTTCCTCCTAGGTTTATCACATTTTTGTTGTTGTTTAGTCGTTTAGTCGTGTCCGACACATACCCCAAAACAAAACAAAAAACAAGAGGTGAATACATCATGGCACCTTATGTCTAACTGCTTTATTTCAATGTGAGCTTTAATGGATCAAGTCCACTTCCTTAGACATTAGATTGAGACTATATAACTATCATATGTATACATCTATAAAGATAATGGACAATTTGTCCAATATAAAGATAATGGACAAATTGACAATCATTTGTTAATAAAGGAATAGCACTACCAGGCTGTGAATCATTTCAGTTAGGAATCTACACGGCAACAATGGCATTGTTGATACAAGTGGCAGACTGGGAATCAATGTAGAATCTCACAATTAATAATGACTTAGGAGCCCTTAATTGATATTCAGTCCTTTTGAGAGTGTCCTTTTGATTGTAGTCTAAACACATCTGGATGGTATCTGTTTTGGATAAGGTCACTTTATATACTTAACTGTATGTTTCCCACAGTGAGATTAAGAGCATTTTGAGGAGTTGCAATGTGGGATTTCTGGACGGAGAAAATGGGAAAGTGACAAGAATATCTACCCTAAACCCATTTGGTCACTATCCTTTCTACCTCCACATCCTCTTTCTCCTCCATGTTAGTCTTTTTTCCCCCTTCCTTTATATACTTAACGGTATATTTCCCACAGTGAGATTAAGAGCATTTTGAGGAGTTGCAATGTGGGATTTCTGGACGGAGAAAATGGGAAAGTGACAAGAATATCTACCCTAAACCCATTTGGTCACTATCCTTTCTACCTCCACATCCTCTTTCTCCTCCATGTTAGTCTTTTTTCCCCCTTCTTCTCCAAACCGCGGTCTCTGTGCTCAAGCTAAAGATCAGAGTGTAGTGGCTGGTGGTCTTTTGAGATAAAGCCTTGGGACAGAAGTCATCAGTCACAAATGTATTAAGTCACAAGCGGTCATGCTGGTTGGAAGATTCAAGAAACTATAGTCCCTTAGGATAACTTTTAAAATCTCTGGTCACAAGTAGGGTAAACTTAGATTCTCAGCAGAATAACCTTGATGTGGCATGATTTGGGTAGAAAATGATTTAATGAATTTCCTTTTAATATATAATTGAGTATATATTGTTGCATTTTACATGTATCATTCCTTTTAATGTTTAAAGGTTTCGAATGTCTTGTGTGAATATTAATAAAATCTTTCTGTATACGGAAACACTCTGCCATGAATAAATAAAATAGTAGTAATCTTACTAAGGTTGGCCAAAATGTGCTGAGGCTCTAAGCCAAAAATGGGAAGCATCTGGCTTTCCAGATGTTGGGACTCCCAGCATCCATCACTAGGCATGGGACTTTTGCATTTCTTGGACTTCAGCTCCCAGAATTCAGTAGGAATTCTCCAGACACAATTTGGGGAGCTTTAATCAAAGAAATCAAAGTTGTGCCATGTCTTTTCAAACGTAAAGGTTTACGCCATTTCTGTCCCATGGAGAAGCCAGGAGAAATTCTTGGTCAGGGCTAGACTCCATAGGAGCTGCAAGGAATTAGTTGTCTGGTAGTTTTTTGAGAGGCACTTTATGCCGATACTAATGATCAGAGACCACCAGATTCCTAATTCTTTGCAGCTCTCAAGGAACCTAACCCTGCCCATCAAGTTCACCTCTTCACAGGACAAAAATGGCTAAATTAGCCATCTGTAAGAAAGTGAAAACACTTGATAGGGCTTTAATTTCTTGATTAAAGCCCCCAGAATTCTCGCTGGGAGATTTCGTGCTGAATTTGAGGGGGGGGGCTGAAGTCCAAAAATAGTCTCATACCTATCCCTCACCATTGGCTCAGCTAGCTGGAGCTGATGAGAGTTGCAATTTGACATTATCTAAAGGGACATACATAGCTATCCCTCTCTTAAGCTATGCCTAATTTAAGAGTCCTTCTAGCATCACCCTTCTAAGTGTATTACTCTAATAATTACTCTTCATCATCTGAGGCCTCAAATTGTATCTTACATAGTTGTGCATAAATCTGGCCCTGTTCCTTATACTCCCCATGGTGCAAGTTCTGGGTGCTGGTGAAGAGCCAGGAGGCTTCCCAAGTCATAGGATCAGCTACTGGTCATAGTGATTTTGTTGTTCGTATTCACCCGTGCAGAACTAGATGTGATTTCTTCACAAAACATTCACTCTATATTTAGAGTGAAATTAAACAATACGAATGTTGGCATGTTGTTTGCAGAAGTGCACCATCAAGTAATGAAAGCTGTTTCTTTGTCAAAGTACAGGATATTCTTTCTAGTTAGAAAAAAAGATTGAAGTCTGAAACAGCATCTTTCATGTGGTAATAATGTTCAGGACTTAAGCACAGGACTCTTTTGAAATCTGCTTTAGGAAGCACAGAAATACACCGTTTGTCACCTTCCTGCAACAGAAAGAGGCTTTCAGCTCTAACTACAAGCTGTCTCTAACATCTGTTTCTGACCTGAATGTGAGATGTTTACAGTAGAGTTTAGAAACATTACTTTTTTGGACTACAACCCTTACAATCCTCCAGCCAGTGTGGACAAAGCTCTGGATGAATTTACATGTGAGAAACATGACTTTTCCAAAGGGTTGTTTTGAAACTGCCTCATTGGCAAATGATCTTTAACACATGCTGTTAGAAACACTGTCCTGATGTCAGTATCCTGCCTGCAATATTCTGGCAGTACTGGAAGGTGAAAAAAAGGTCACAAGCCCGAATATTGTGAAGGACATTGTGCAGACAAACATGGATGTGCTCAGCTTTCCATGGGGTTGTGACATATGTAACATCATTCAACTGTTACTTCATGACCTCAGCTATACTGTACATGCGTAAAGTACAGCAATATTTCTATTTAAATTGCAAGCGGAAGGGTACCTGTATGATATTGCAGATGAAGAGGTTAGTTTCTGAGACAATTTCCTATGCTTTTATATTAAATGCAAAGGCATAGACATATGGAAATATATTGTTTTCCAGCAAAAAGTCCAAGCCTTCACTCCTGAAGGCTTGGAGTGAAGTAAAGAATAGGGCAAATACTCCTTTGGGCCTGCTGTTCAGTACACACAGAGGACAATTTTCATAACACCAGCTTAAGACCACTTTTGAATGGTTTCTTTTCTGGCCAAGGAATGTTGGGAACCCCTCATTCTGGCAAACCTTTATAAGTCAGAAAAGTCTCAGCACTCTTACCGAAATTCATCTTCTAGGGTAGTTAAGAAAAAGCCATGAGAGTTCATCCGGTATAGAAGCCAATTACAATTAGTAAATGTACTAACATGTTCTGAGAGCCACAGCTGTTATTTCTGGAAGGCCATTGTGGTTTTATACTGTAAACTAATACATGCCTCTTGGTTTCCAAAGGAATGCTTCTCAGGCTACAATCCTACACAGTGGCCTGTGAGGATGCTTTGTTGACCTCTGTGAGGCCTATTTCTGACAAGAGGTAAATTCTCAGGTGCAAGCACTTATTCTGAGAATCCTCATAGCCATGCCCTCGAACTCATGAAAACAATATGCAGACACCCATGTCGATAGGTAGCATATGCCCCATGCATTATAATGAGCTGACGGTCAGAAAGCAGTGAGGTGGAAATGGAGAATGATAGCATGTTGGACTTGGGCTAGAAACATCGGGCTTCACATTTCTGAACCATCATTAAGTATGCTGAATGACTTTGGGTCACTCCTTGTTTGAGCTTAGTCTACCTTACAAAGTCATTGTTGACATAAGATAGTGGTAACACATCCTTGTATGCCAGATGGAGCTCAATGGAGGAAGCGTGGATGCAGATGTGAGGGACATCAAAGCAAGAAACCTTATTTGTGATGCTGATGAGGTTTGTCTGACTTTTGACGGGGATTTGAAAAAAAATAGTTTTCAGACTACAGCTCCCAGAATCCCCCCAGCCAGCTGAGCCTTTCACTGTCTCAAATAAAACATTTTAAATGACTGTCTTTCCTGAGGCGCATACAGTGGAATGGATCTGAGGAGTAGATTTTGAGAGGTGGGAGACAGATGGCTTAAGCGTGTGGCAAATGATCTTTGAAAACCAGATGTCCTGATTTATATGAGAGCAATTATTATAATTACTTGCCATTAAGTCAGTTCTCATATACAGTGATTCTTTCTAGCATTTTCCCCCAAATACTCAGAAGTGGTTTACCACTCTCATCTGCTGGGGGCACCCTGGGACTGTCCAGCTTGCCCAAGGCCACACAGGCTGGTTCTATTCATAGGAGGCATCATGGGGAATCGAACTCCCAGCCACTGGCTCTACAGCCAGATACACAACTCTCTGAACTTACATGGGGGGGGGGGAACATACTGGATGCAACCTTACGTATGTGTGTTTACTCTCTAGTGTTCACTGCATTAATATTCCATTTATTTTAATGGGTTAAACACAAGGGATAAACAACAAAGGATAAATCTTCCCCATTTGTGTTTCAACACTATCCCTCACCACTTGTCCTCTTCCTTCAGGAATTCCTCTGATTGCTCTGATGTATCTCTTCATCTAATAATTGTGGAGAAAAGTGCTGCTTGGAGTATTTCCTATCCTCAGAAGGCTTTCGTCCAGAGTTCTGGACATGTTGTTTGCCCGGCCCTTGAAAATTTTGTGCAAAAGGATACAGGCTACAAACTCAGATGGTACAAGGTATTATTATTTCTACTTTCCTCATGGAGACATTTAAACAGAACCTTATAGTAGTCAAACAGGGATGGGGAACCTTTAGTCTTCCAGATATTTTTAGACTACATCTCTCATCATCTGTGACCATTGGCCATGAGAGCTAGAGATGATGGGAACTGGAGTCCCAAAGACATCTAGAAGGAACAGACTTTTCACCCCTGCTTTAGAAGCAGGGTCAGCCCGAGATGTTTCACAGCTTGAGTCAGAGTAAGAAATGGTACCCCAATCCCATTCCAGTCAAGATGCCCAGTAAAGCCAACCAAGTTCTTTTGGTACATGAAGCAGAAATCCCCAAAGCACTCTGCCTGTCCCTGACAATAATGGTAATAAAAAGTCACTATTAACATGTTAATTAAGTAACGGTGTGTTTGATCCAGTTGTCTGATTGTTTTCTAGTCTAATAATTGATCTGAGATTATTATTAACCTGGTGGCCTGTTGAGTTACTTAAAAGTAGCTAAAACAGTCGAAGACAAAGTCCAGCATTCCAAAATTCTCCTACAACATTATTTGGAATTAGAAGTTTAAAAATAACTTTTTGAAGACCATTGCTCCCGGAGAAGAAGAGAAGAATTCTAGACATGACACTCTAAAAATAGTAACTTTTCTATGCTGTTTTAAGTTGTTGAGCTAATCTTTTACTACTGGAAAAGCATTTTGACTCTGTGCAAGAAGTAATGTTGCACACTCTGTTTCATCCTATGGGTATAGGACAACTGCTACAACAGTCAGTCTTTGTATCAGTTAGTCGTTATGAGAGTACAACAGCAGCATAATGACCTCAGAAGGAACAAATTGTCTCAAAAAGATCCTTTCTTGGCATGATGAATTTCATTTAAGCCTATTTAGAATATCCAGAAGCTAAAGAGTTCAGTTATTAAGAGCTGAGTAAAAGAAATGTGTCATGAAGAGAAAAATTGCACCCGTGGATATGCGTGACTTAATTTCTCAGATTGCTATACTCTTTTTCCACCCTTAAAAAGTTAATGTGAGGCACAATTTTGCTTTGGAATACTTGACTAAAGCAATATATGTTAGACATGAGGTCACTATGGCACAAATCAAACCCCATCTCAGAATTTTTCCAGTAGCATGAAGCCTTTCCAAAAGTTCAGTTTTATTCCACCTTTGGCTGATAAATCTATTCACTCACAATAAATTACCACAGAACTGGCTCTACCATTAGACAGAGTGTGGCAACTAAATTAGGCAGCAGGTTTTTTTGGATGGCAACTCAAGAAAACCTTGTTCGGTCAAGATGGCTAGATGATCCAGGGACTTGTCATGCCAATTGTTCACTTCTCTAAGCTCTGTGTGTGCCACACAACCAGTCCTATACTGTATCAGCTAAATTCCCCTGATACTCCCAGGTGGAAACCATTGTAGAAGTTCCATCCCTGCTATTAAGGCAAAAGTCAGTTGGAAATTTGGCCAGCTTGTGCAGGAAGGTGTGAGGCACCTTCTCAACTTTCACTTGGAAGCAGCATGTACTGGGCTGGTCTTGAGACTTGGGGAAGACCTGTCTAGAAGAGCAAGACCTGCCATTTCTTGGATCTAAGGCAAGTCTATTTAACTATTATGTGTTCAGTTGTCTTGTTTTATTCTTTTTTTAAAGGACTCTACACTTCTGAACACAGACAATGAAAAATTTGTAGCTTTAACAGGCACAAATTACCTCATAATCAATTCTGTGTCATTGGATGATTCAGGCTACTATACTTGTCAACTGACCTTTGACCATGAAACAGGGCAATACAACATCACAAGAACCATCCAGCTGAAGACCCTTGGTAAGGAATGATACTGACTATTTGACCTACCAGAGCACAGAGCTTCTGTTAGAGGAACACAGTTCCTCTATATATATATCTGGCCTTTTCTCATTTTTAAAAAAGCCATATTATGCAAGAAGATAATATGAAATGTTCCACCAGAATAGATGTCATGTTGCAATTTTCACAAGAAAAGGCAGTAGTTCAGTGAGAGTGCACAACCTCCGCACAAGAAAGGGTCCCGGTTCATCTCTAAATAAAGCAGGGAGGGGGAAGGAATTCTCATCAAATTCATGGAGAGATGCTCCTAGTCAGCGTGGACTAGGGACAGGCATTGTGGGACTGCAATTCCCAAGACTTATAATTGGCTCAGTGAGCTAAGACTGATGGGAGTCACAGTCCAACTTCTGTACAGCTACATGTTCCCCCTTTGTGAATTAGACACATTGGCCTAAATTTTTGGACAGATAGCTCCCAGAATTCCCCAGGCAGCATAAGGGAATTTGGGAGATGTAGCTCAAAAGCACAAATCTGCACACTTCTATGATTGTGAGTAGAACCAAGGTTTGAGAAAGAACAAAGGAAAAGGTTGTGTGGTCCCCGAGATTACACAAATGCAAACATGAATATCTTTTATTAGACCATTTAAAAAAAAGCACGTTGCTAGCTTTCATTGAAACACTCTTGCACTAAAACTGTACAGGATCCCCCAGCCAGCAGAGTCAGTGGCCACATTGGCTGTGGATTCTGGAAGCGGTACAGAAAGTAACTTTTTTCCAAACTACATGAAGCCCTGCTCAGTCTTGCCCTACTTTTTAAAATCAGAGATCTCACTGAACAGTGACTGCACATTTGGAAATGTTCCCCTGTTTTAAGGACCAGACATTTAACACATTAAAATAAAATCTGAGCGCAGTAGATTGCAGAACTGGTGCCAGTTACCAAACTCCATGTGTTTGCAATGCATTTGCTAATGTGTGGAAGACCCACACCCTCGACTATAACATATTTTTTTGTTTCCTCAAATGCGTTCTGGCACAAGGAAAAAATTCCTACTCTTCCAGTTTCTCAGCATTACAGCTGTCAGCTGCCAAGCTCTGAGCTTACACAGCAGTGTTCCAGCTCTTTGCTTCAGATAAGGGAGTGGAAATTGTTTCCCAGAGAACTAAAACTGCTTAAATTCACCAGTAATAATTCCCAGCCCTTGTGGGAGGCAAAGCAGTTGTGTTTAAGTGCTTCCAGTCACAAAACAAGAGTAATTTGTCTCCTATGACAGCCCCACTAAGTGGCTTTAAATCGCTACGAGAAATGTGATATTCGGTCAGAAGTGGGAAAAGTAGACAAAGCCCTCTGTCTTATTTCCTCCTTTTCAACATTTACACAAACTGCTTGCTGCACTGTGAAACAAGAGCTTGATTAATTTACATGTTAGTATACAATCTGGCCAGCAGATGGTGTCAGTGTGTTTCATGTTTCCTCCCCACCGCATCCTGCATCTATCTTTTCAGAAGTCCTTTTAAAGAAAGAGAAATAATAATAATTTAAAAAATTTCTTTCAGATACGTTGGCCACTTCTTTTCATTTCCCAGAGGGATGAGAACCTAGTTCTTCTCTCACACAGAATCCTTTAAGTCAGAGTTTAAGTCCAAAGGTGGTCTTCCAGATGTTGTGGGTGGGATCACAAATGGCTGCTCTCCTCATGGTTAACTCTGCTAGCTAGGACCGATGGGAGTTATAGCCCATCAGGCAGATCACACTTTGTTTATCCTTGACTTAAACGACCAAGGGCCAATCCACCTCACCTGTTTCAAGTGGGCAAGGGGAGGTGAGATAAGGCTTGGGAAATCTTGCATCACTGTGTGTACCTCATTAAAGCAACAATCCCCACATCAGCTGAAAGGAAGCGTACAAGCTGCCTAACATTCCAGCTCTATTGGAATAATACCAGCTTGTATACTTTCCCTACCAAAAAAAAATGTCAAATCCCACCTTCTGGAATATTGACTGGCCTTTGATTTTTGGCCTTTGTGTTTTCTTGAAGAGGTTGTTACTGCTTTATTAGTAAGCGATACAACAGAAATGTATTGTGAGAGGCTAATGGATGGCTTCATGAATCTAACACACAGTTTCCCCGCTATGAATTTTCAGTAGGCCAGAAGAAGAAAAGCAGACCCGTGATTGTCTCTCCAAACCAAAAGATTGTACCTGCAGTTCTCGGTAAGGTCATGAATATCTTCAAGAAATTTGTGAAAGCAATGTAATGTTTACAAGCTCTAGTTCCCTGGCCTATATCCTGGGCTGAGAGAAACTGGAGCCCAACAAGATCTGGAAGGCCACAGTTCCCTTCTTCCAAGGTTAACTTCAAACAGTAAGATCTGGAAGGCCACAGCTCCCTTCTTCCAAGGTTAACTTCAAACAGTGATCAGTGGATTTACGGTCAACGGAGTGTAGGAATGGGTTGCTTAACTGTTTTCTGGCCAGCTTCAGGGGATCTTGATCATATGAATTAGCTGACAGGAAAACAGATGAGCAGGTGGTACTTTGCCTCTCATTGACGGTGATGGCATGGCTTTGGCTTTCTTGCTTTCTGTATTCTACAACCATTTGAACAAGAACCCCAAAATAAAAAAAGCATGCCCATTCACTGGGGTTGTAGTGTTAAAAATCTTGTACTGAATTTACAGCTACCGAAATAAGTATCCCTAGGGTTTTTATTTTTGCATGATAGCCTATTATATTTTATTAACTGAAACAGAGCTCTTAGAGGTCCCTCTCCCTCTTTGGCCAACAATCCTATTCAGTTTGTTCTCAAAGGCTTTCATGGCTGTGATCCGATGGTTATTGTGGGTTTTTTGGGCTGTTTGGCCGTGTTCTGGAGTTTTTCCTAATGTCTCCGTGGCTGGCATCTTCAGAGGTCAGGAGTTAGAACTCTGTGTTCTGGTATAGTGTGTGGACTTGTTGAGTATTTGTAGCTGTGGCATCAGGTCTTTGTTCTCTTCAGGAGATTGGGTGTTTTCTGTGATCAGGGTGTTTTTTTGTTATGGGTGTTTTGTTGTGATAAGGGGGGAGATGATCTGTTACTGTGATTGATGGGTTTTGTTGGCTAGTATTTTGTGTGCAGTGATCACAATGTGACATTTCAAAGGTTCTGACTGTGTGTGGAGCAAATAGTTTCATTCTACTGCTTCACAGGCGTGGTTCCCATCCATTGGGAGAACCTATGGCAGCCAGTTCAAAAGCATGTAAAAATACAAGTAGATAAATAGGTAACGGCGTTCCGTGTCTAGTCGCGCTGGCCACGTGACCACGGAAACTGTCTTCGGACAAATGCTGTTTCTATGGCTTGGAAATGGGCATGAGCACCACCCCCTAGAGTTGGACACGACTGGACTAAATGTCAAGGGGAACCTATGACTGACAGCCACACATTGGGAAAAAGGCATACATGAACAATTAAGATTAGCCTGAATGTTCCAGTGCTTGTTGGCAGAAAATCCAGTCACAGGTGTAGGGGGAGAGAAGAGTTATTATTTACTTTAATTGTTTAAAAATAATCTTCTTCAGATGTCATATGTGTTTACAGAATAAATTCACAAAAAAAGGGGGAAGGTCTTGAGGAAATAGGAATTTACTGACCATTTGCATTGGTGGACTAGATTTGAAGATTTATGTTTTTTTTTTTATTTGACATAACTAAGGACATGATTTGGTAAGTTGGCTGTCATGTGGCACTGAGACCTCTAGTACCTGATAATCTTTTATGAGATCTGCCTCCAACTGATCTAGCTAAGGACTGATTTCATAATGTCAGGCTGATGTCATAAAAGATTGTTCTTCAACACTGAAACATTCCCGGATGCAAGTAAGTACACTGACTCACATGGTACTGGATTGTTGAAATAAAGGTCTGACTCAAGGAGGATGTGGTTATTGGTTAAACCAGATGTTTAGGGACAGAGAAAAATCAACTAAATAATTTGGCTCTGCCTGCCATCATTCTGTATGAATTGAGTAATCAAGAGACAGCCCAGGAACCTGCTCAAATGTGGACACTGATTTTCTCAGCCATTTAGCAGCATCTCTTCACATTCCTCACAGAACCAGTTGCTTCAGCAAGTGTTTGCTTCTGAGACTGAAGGCACACCTTAAATATTGCAGATTTAAGCCCTTTCAAGTCTGAGTCTGTTCAGCCCTCTTAGACTAGAGACCGTGGAGGGGATGTGGGAGGTCCTATTGGAGCTTTTTGTTTAGATTCTCCTAGCCACACAGTATTGCTGATGATTCTGCAGAACGTGGTGAGTCTCAGTGGAATGGCTGAATCTATGCTTTTCTGTCAAATGTGCCTCTGTATTTGGAAGTATGGGAGGGTACCATCTTGTCCCTGTGGGAGGGTACCATCTTATCCCTTTCCTAAGGCAACAAAATACATTAGACCAACTGTGGTAGAGACTATAGAGAAACAACACAAAAATAAGCTGACAATTGCACAGTGCATTACTGAAGTCACAAAACATTCGACAACATTTTTTCATGAATCACTTGGGCTGCAATGCCACTCTCTACTTCCATCTTCATAGCTATGGATATGGATTACCATTTGAAAGCAGGTAATTCTTTGATGAGACTGAATACTTTAAGGAGACTGAAATTTATAAGTTGCCTTCAAAGGAAGTGTTGTGAAAAATGCCTCCTTTGCCGTGTTGTCTGCAAGCTATTAAGCTGATGTGCAACGGCTTCCCAGGGATACAAATAGCTGTTTTTGTGGTTCCATTTAACTCATTCCGTTTCGAGTTTACCTGGACTGGTAACAGCTCACAATAATCTACAGATATTATAGATTATTCAGATGGAACAAAATTCCTCCACATACACTTAATCGTGGTTTTTGAATGCCAGCTCAAAAAACAATGTATTGCCAGATGCATGTATAATGTGGTTGAAATCCAGTCGTAAGTCACAACTAGAGTAGAGTGGGGATTTGGTAAGTGAGCATTTATATAAAATCTATTGATTCAATGGGACCATTATAGTTGTGAATTACTTAATTGATTTCACCAATTATCTTCTGGAAATCTCTTTTGAATGAAGCTGTGCGTGTGGCCTCTATACTTCTTTTTGAAATAGGTTCCCGGCTGACCATTCCCTGCAAAGTGTTTGTTGGAGCAAGTGACTGTACATACGCTGATGTCTGGTGGCTGGCCAACCAAACTCATGTTCAGAGTGTTTACAAAAAAGGCCGAGTTACAGAAGGAGAGCCTCAGTAAGTCATGTTGGAATGCCATGCTATGTCTGTCCCCTCCTGTAAGAGGGGTAAGTCCAAGGGCCAAATCTTCTGAATTTGTGATCCTCCACATGCTTCACAGACCACCAGAACTGCTGGATAGCTCAGTGATTTAGGCATCTGGCTGAAGAGCTGGAGGTTGGGAGCATCTCCTTAACAGGGGCTGGACACAGTGATCAAGAGGATCCCTTCCAGCTCTGCAGTTCTAAGATTACGTTCAAGTTTTAAGTTCAAAAACATGGAGGAGGATCGAGAATCAGAAACAGAATGGCTGTAAATCCACTTCCAGTCCCCCTCCCCAATAAAAGACCATATTTTGGTGTTAAGCAAAATATGTGTTTGGGACTGTGATGTATTTAAAAATTGAACCATTCTTTCCTGAGTCTTTTATGAGTAGCAGTTCGCATTCTTTTTGAGGGGGGGGAGGAATTTTGATGAGTTAGGGGCTGCAATATCTTGCAATATATACGTAGCTAACTGCATATAAATTGCAAGACTGGCAAAGTAAAAAGGGAATAAAGCAGATGGCCGCTCGTTTCATTTCAGTACTCATATGTCTTCTGTTCATATACCGGCCACATGAAGTGGCCTGTTGCCTAAGATCAATCCTGGTGCCTTGTCTTTTTACCAGATAGTCTCTAAAGCAGAGGTTACTTTGGACTATAGGTTGCCTTCACTTTTTACCCCATTGTAATGTATGGACAAGTTAAAGAATCCTTCCCCCCCGCCCCCGGCATCATCTTGCCATTTCTGCAGGTAGCTCAAGTCTCCAATGCAAGTTCTCCCACTGTCCCAATGTTATCCTCTTAGCAACCCTGCAAAGTGGATGAGTTGATTTGTCCCAAACTATGTTGCATGCCTTGAATGGGAAGGGGAATTTGGCTAGGGACTTGTGGTCAAAACACCTAGAAATCTCCAAGTTGGAGCCCACTGCCTCAGCACGGAAAGTCTGTTGAATTTTTCAGTTTTTATTTCAGCTTTGAATACTTTTTTGTGTGTAAAAAATATTGGTTTAGTATAGTGAAGTATATGGACTCTTGTGTGTTGTACATTTACTGCAATCATGGCCACATCTCCTGTCTACCCATCACACACAGCTAAAGTGTTAAATCTAACTTTGCAGGAATTATAGTATTTTGGAAATGTCATCAAAAATGTGAGAAATGTTTTATAAAAAGGGAGGCTATAAATGGTTATTTTTCATTTTAGGAAATTAATAGAAAACAATGACAATTACATTGAGGTGCCATTGATTTTTGACCCCGTTAAAGAAGTGGACTTCAATACAGATTTCACATGTGTGGCCTGGAATAGTCTTGGGCATCAAGTGCAGGCAACTCAGGTCAAGCCAGAAGGTACCTGTTTGTATACTTTTGCCATTTGTTACTGTGAAGTTGACATACTGACATTTATTGTATGCATGAGGTATATGGGAACTTCTTGTGTCTTTTGATTCTATCATTTTGGAATGAGGTGCCCAAAATGATATCATGAGTCACTAAGATTATGATTATGATTATTCTTTTCCCTTTATGTTATGCCAGCCAGTACGTCAGCTACTTTCTTTTCCTGATTGGGCTCCGTGCTGTACTGGAAATATACAAAAGTGCTTATTGTTTGGGCCACCCAGATTACAGGCCAAGGAAACAACTTAAGCTGGACAGTGACTTAGGCAACTTTAAAACTAGAAGTGCCTGTCATTCAAATACTAATCAAGGGCCAACTAAGGAGTGACACTTTTCTCACCTCCAACCAAGCTGCAGAAGTAATGAATAATCAGGGATGGAAAATGTGTGGCTTCTAGACATTTTTCCTAAATAGTGGCCATGCTGTCCAGGAGTTATAGGAACATCTGGAGGGCCATTTGTTCTCCATCTGGATCTAATCTAAACCCAAACCCAGCAATTCATGCTCTGAATGGTAATAATGACAAAGCATGGTATTTGGGGGTTGACTATATGCTCCAATGGAGAAGAACAGTTAAATGTCATTACTAGATATATTGTAAAAGTTATTGCTCCAGTACTAATAAGAAGAAAGAGAAACAATTAACCTGCTGAATGTGAAGTTGTGCAATCTATGAAACATAGAAGTGAGAAGGGTTGTATTGCCTGAATGACTGGAAAATGAATTTAAGGGGCTTGTACAACAAGTGGTGTTGTCTCCAGTCATTTTGAGGTTAATCTGAGTTGTTCTGGTATTTTTGTTGAAGATTGGAATAGCTCGTCCTCATATTTGCATCTACACATGTGGAGAGTATTTGTTGCTGGATGTAGTAGGATGCTGTGGGTCATACTGATACCACCTGTCCACATACATCCAGAATAGATCCAACTCTCATGACATCTCACTCCCAACACAGATTGCCTTTCCCTCTTATCTTCTTTCACCTACTTCACTCTTTCCTCCACTTTCCTCCTTGTTTTATTTGTCCACTGCTGTGAAATGTAGAGAGAGTGATCAATACCCATAAGGGGATGCCATCAAATGACACCCAACCACAAACTGTGCAGATTGAAGTGGAACAATGCAGTACTAGGGTCAACAACACCTGCAGATCCTGCTCTGAAGCAAACTGGATCAAAGCAGAGCAGAAACACACTGGGTGATGTAGGAGAAAGAGAGAGAAAACATGTTTTTTTGCACCACTTTGACTCTCTTCACTCCTGTTTCAGTCTTGCATTGTGTAAAAACAAGGATGCAGTAGGACTTTCATAGGTGTAAGGAAAGTTGAACAAAGGCTTAGTGTGGATGGGCTTATAAGGAGGACAGTACCCATATGAGAAAGTAAGCAACAGTCATGCCAAACAGGATGTGTTAGTTTGCAAGATCCAAGAAGACCCTTTGCTGTTCAGGAAGTGAGGGGGCTTGACTAAATAACAGGCCTCAAAACTCCTTTCAAGGGCCTTGGAGCCTGGCCAGCTCTTACAGTATACAGGGAAAGTTGTTTGAAGGATTAATGATATTGAGTGTTGCTGTTTACCAGATGCTTTTTGGAGCTATGAGAGAATCTCCTATCAATTTGCCCTGGAAATTTATTCTCAGTTCCCCCTCAAGTAAACAGGAAGCTACTATTTGCAAAGTTTTGTGGGGGGGCGGGGAATGGCACTTTTAGCAAGAAACATTTCATTTCAGCAGTGAGTTTGGAACAGCAAAAGGAAATATTAATTCATTTACAACTGACCTACGGGATTTAGGTGATGACTACAGGCAGAAGTTGCCATTAAAATTTCTGAACAGGAATGGGCTATCTGTGGCCCTCCAGATATTATTAGGCTCCAGTTCTCATGAACTTTGCTTACCTGCTCAGTGGTCAGATTTTGGGAGCTACGTTTCAAAAAATCATGAAGGGTACATGTTCACCATCTTAGAAAAAGTAATGAAAGACTGACCAGCATCCAAGACACACAGAACCTGAATAGAACCACAATTTTCAGAAGTAGTATATTGTTGGACACCAGATATCAGATACACAGATACCAACCAACAGATTTTTAAATGACTTTTTAAATACAAGCGATTGTATCCATCCATTTGCTTTTGTTTGCAGCTGGAACTCCGCAGATATCAGATACATAGATACCAACCAAAAGATTTTTTAAATGACTTTTTAAATACAAGCGACTGTATCCATCCATTTGCTTCTGTTTGCAGCTGGAACTCCACGTGCAAGGGGTGGAGTCTCCATGCAGAGCTCCGCCCCTTGCACGGAGAATTAGAGGGAATGTTGACAAGCAGTTTTCTTCAAGAAATGGAAGTGACTTTTGAAATGGAAATTTCTTTTCAGGTGCCTCAATACTTTTATTTCTCTGGGGTAGAAAACAGTTCCTGGTTGGTGTTTTATGTTTTATGTGATCTGACCTGACATTTCTGGGAATGAACTGCTGTGTTACTTTGAGGGCAGGCGGAAGGTTAAACTAATAATACCTCTACCTTTTGAGTTAGGTTTTGCATATTTTGACACCTCATTTATTGGATTTTTCCTTTTTACAGAGCGTCCTTTGTCCTGGCACTTGGCAGTCACTCCACTGGCCCTGGCTGCTGTGATTGTGGGAGCAGTGTATATCTATAAATGCTGGAAGAACAGACAGCTCAGGCCTAAACAACAAAATATTTTGTATTCAATAGCAGCTCATTAATCTCACTAAAAATATGGAGAAACCTGGTTGTTGAAACTAGAAGTGATTCAAGAAATTTTGATAACTGAGGCAGAAAGCCACAATGAAATTTCTCATGACTGTAAACAACAATAATTAAAAAACCACAAACCAATACATTGCAATGTGTTGCCTTTTAATTATACCCTGATATCTGCCAAATGAAACTGGCTTCTTCATACTAAGCAGCAATATGCCTGTCCCTAGTCAAAAGAACCTGTACAGTATTTGAAAACTGCTGTTTTTTTCAAGTCCAAACAGGTCAGTTACAGATGCATATATTCAAAAGTAGATCTTCCAAAGGAGCAGAAATGTGGCAACAGAGTTTAGAAAGGTTGTTTTTTTTTTTTTGACTATTATTTCCCAAATACTCCAGCCAGCATGTTGTGTGGAGAATTCTGGAAGTTGTAGTTCCAAAATACAACTTTTCCAAGCTCTGAAGGAGGTCTGATCCCTCCTGTTCCCTCTGCCTTCGGCACTATAGATGTACTTGGAATAGTGCCATGTGTGAAAAATGAAACATGTGCCAAGTGTGTCATCTGAAAATTTTGGAGGCAAAAGGAAAATTCTTCTCTCTCCCCCCTCTTGATTTATCTGTTGGATTATCCTGCATAATATACCATCTTTTCCCGTGTATAAGACTATACTTTTGTCTAAAATTTTTAGACAAAAATTGAGCTTGTCTTATACACGGAAGTAAGCTGAGGAGAGTACAAAAACATGTGTAGGGGAAAGCAGGGATCAAATAGTTCCTGCAGGGCTTTGATCCCTGCTTTCCCCTCCACTTGCTAAGCCTTAGCAAAAGGAAAGCAGGGATCAAAGCGCTGCAGGAACTATTTGATCCCTGCTTTCCTCTCTGCTTGCTAAGTCCCATGGGGCTTAATAAAAGGAGTGGGGACAGATTCAAATCAATCCCGTGGCTGTATAAGGGGGAAAGGAATCAAAACGATTGTGCAGTTGTGGGATGGCTTTGATCCCTTTCCCCCTCCTATTGCTGTGGGGCTTAGCATGAAGGGAGAAAGCAGGGATCAAAGTGATCCTGCAGTGCTTTTATCCCATTCCCCCTAGACTTGCTAACCCGCACTTAGATTTCTTAATTTTTGGTTAGAAGGAGGGTCCCTATACGTGGGGGCATCTTATTCATGGAAAAATATAGTATATAGCTCAGTGGGTTGGAGTGCCTGGCGACAGAGCCAGAAATCCCCAGCTTTCACCCTGGGAGAAGACCAGCAGTGAGTTGGAGTGCCTGGCGACAGAGCCAGAAGTCCCCAGCTTTCACCCTGGGAGAAGACCAGCGGAAATGTGTGTGGCTGATCAGTTATTTACCCTGTGACCTGTGCTGCCCTGGGCAAGTTACATAGTCCCATGGTACCACCAGAGTGAGGGACTAGTGAACAACATCTATGTACCTGATGCCTAGAAAACCATGGGAAAAGTCACCATAAATCAGAATCAATTTGATGGCTTCCTCCTCCTTTTCTTATTTAATATAGTTGGCTGGAAAAGAGCTAGTCTATGCAGCCTTGAGCAAACTGCACAGTCCCAGGATGCCCCCAGAAGAAGGGAATGACAAACCACTTCTGAGTACTCTCTACCTGGAAAACCCTGAAAAGGATTGTCGTAAGTCAGAATTGACTTGACAGCACATGATTATGATGATTTATTATTTAGTATATATACTGACTTGATGTCACTTTGTTTTTCAGAACAGTGGCCAGGGGCACCTAAAGAGGGAAGCAGCAGGGGAGGAGGGATAAAACATTTCAAAACTACCTAGGAGACTCAATGGCAGATTTAAAAAAAAATACTGGTGGGGAGAAGGGGACAGAAGTGCTAGGTTAAGCCCTAATGGGACTCTGAGGACCTCATACATATAACCATAATTTCTTTCCCACTCCTGAGATAACCCATACTCAAACTGTGGGCCTTTGCACAGCTAAAATGTCTCCAACCATGCTAAAGGAGAGGTGTCAAATGGCTTGGAAACCCCAACATTTGCAGCAGTATAAAATCTTTTGGGGAAGAAATATAGACATACCGAGGGCTGAAAAAAATGCCTGTGAAGATTAGGTAAGCTTAAGAGGCAACAAATATTGCCTTGATTCTTAGATGTGTGTGAGACAGACCAAAACTGAGGCGTGGCATGGAGTACACTATAAAAGGACAAAGCTGGTTGGCCTGACCCTGAGGAAAAGCACTTCACATAAGAGTTATCTGTTGCGTAAACCAGTTCTTGAAGCATGTATGTAGAATGAATAATGTAGATGATCCCAAGGGCTGTTTAGGCTCTTGAAAAGAACTGTGCTTTGCTTTTCTTCGAACAATTATTCCCAGCTGTTAATCACAAAATACCTTTGCTTCTCCCTCATTTCCAAAAGCAGATTGTCATCTGGCATAAGAAGCACTTTTTGAGGAAAAACATACCTAAAGCATCTCCAGCTTTCTCACATACGTGGATTACAGCCTTTATGTCAGTATGATGGCTCCTTAGGGTAAGCAGGTCACTGCCCTGCCTAAAGTTCAGACAGGCCTCAGCTAGTCTCCTTCTGAATGCTTCCTTGCCAGGCTGAAAGTTTGCCTGCCTTTTGAGTGTCTGCACACGTATTGAGAGACACAGAGAGGGAGCCTGTGTGGGTGTGCATAAGAATATTTGCTTTTGTTTGTGGCTCCTTCCACTATTTCTTGCTTTCACTATATGCTCCACTCCACCATTTCCTGCCACCACCAGAAAGAATATATTTAAATAACTAAAAACTACGGCATGTAGAGTGGAGGGGGCAAGATTTCTGTTGTACATTAATATTTGAAAAGGTATTTTAAAAAATGCCTCTGGAATTTAAAAAAATATCTTTGGGATAGTGGAACGGCCTTTAGGACAAAGGTAAAATCTCTTTTCCTTCAAGGAAGAAAGAGCGGTGCCTTTTTTTTCCCCTGTCAAGGCCTGATATCATTGCTCCCAGCCACAGACTGTTCTTTTTCACAGATCCCTTTCATATTGATTTAGTGATTGTTGTCTATATTGTTTTATTTCCAAAACATTCATTGAAATGATCTTCTATTTAAAATGTGTAAATAAATATTTAAAATTTCATAACTATTTTTTTAAGACTAGGGATTGATGTGTACAGAATGAAAGTCAACTGTCAAGTGAACTTATTTGCCATTTGGGAAAAATGGAAGGGAAGTGTCATATTAGAGATCCAACTTTACTTCAAGAAATCATCTGGTTCATTACAGTATTATCTTTATATAATGTAAGTAATCACAAATAGAACAATAGTTTTGATCAAATTTCAGACCCCTCAAATGCCAGTAGATCTTGCCTATACAGTAGCAAGTTATGGAAGTTTTCATGACAACTGGGATATTATTAGGCTCCTTACTCAGAATCTGAGCATCCTTCATATCTATCATCCTTCATCTCACACACTCTTGTCTCCATTTTTATATTGAGGATTCTTGAAACAGTTTAGTAAATTTCATAAAGAGCAGTTTTACTCCACATGTTTTCAATTCAAAATGTTTTTTAAAAGCCAAGACCATGGTTACTTTAATTAAATGGTTTCCAGTGACAAGCCTGGACCAAAACACCATTCTTTTTTTTAAAGCCACAAACATCTGTTGTGCAGCCTGCAATTCACTAATCACAAAACCCATGCATCTTCCTTCTTGTGGCCTTCTCAGTGGCAGCTCCCAGGCTTTGAAATGCACTGCCCTAAGGAGCCAGATTGGCCCCCTCCCTCTTGTCCTTCTAAAGTTAGGCAAAGACCTTGTGTTTTGGGTAGGCTTTTAGGCAACAAGTGTCCAGGGAATGCTCCATGCTTGACATGTCAGCTTATGATATTTGAAAGTGAGAAGCCTCTAGCTTAGGGGTGAATAAATGGCACTTGGAATGTGAAGAACTGGTCGGGGGTGGGGAGGCAGTATGTGCGACTCTAATTTCCACCTTAGGTACATTATTCACTGGCTGAATCCTCAAGGGTACTTCGTACTTTTCCACAGGATAATCCTTTTGTTCCTAGTATGAAGTCTTTAGCTTTATTAACTTTATAGGCTTCTCCAGATACAACTATACAGTTGTTTTTATTTTCATGAGAATAAAGTACCCAAAACGTGCTAAAATGATTGTCCCTAGAGAATCACTATAAATTTGAACAGATGCTTTAAAGATTACAGATCTTGGTATTCATGCTGGCTGAAGCTTTCTGGCCATTGCAGGCCAAATTTCTCTCTCTCTTTTTTTTTATAAGTTCTGGTTTCAAGTAAACGTCAGCTCCTTTTTTCAAAAAAAATGTTATCTTGTATATTTTTACTTAGAGATGTTCCATATAGAGCATTTTGTCTCCCTTGACATCCAGGTTGTGTACTGATCTTATCAGAATTTACCCTGACATCCAAATAGCATTGGTCTTACCACACTTTGGATAGATTTTTCCCCCTTGACTTCCCTCAACCTTTTGTTCTTTCAACAACTCATTTTTTGTAAGCTTCCTTCCATTCTGTTCCATTAAACTGTGTGATTCTGCTTGTGTGCAGATTCCTAGTGCCCTATCTTGTGTTACTGCTGTGTGTGTCTTCAACGGCATGTGCTGTGGTGTGTATTGTGGGAGTCTCCTCTCTCCACACCTCTCTCCAACTTCCCTTTTTCTTACTAGTTTGTCTGAAACTTTTTACCTTTTTTCCTCTCTTTCTTTGGCTTCAGTCTAAAAGTGCAGCATGGAAACAAGTTAGCACTAGACTGGTATTCGTTTTCTTAGTTTAAAGTACCCTACATGAGTGTGGAAAAGCAAGCGGAAAAAAGCCAAGAGATTTACCACAAGTCCATTGTTAACGTAGAGGCCCTCCCAAGAGGCCTTTGAGACAGTGAAAGAGAAACATGATCGCACGGAAGCTGTTTAGACAAATAAAACAAGACCAAAGTGGGGGCGGGCGGGCAGGGGGAGGCAAAAAAGCAGCCAAAACAATATGCTGTAACACCACTAACTGGAAGTCCCTTCTTCTTTTTCACCTTGCCTTTGGAGTTCTAGTTGTAGGAATTATAATAACACTCATTCCACTCAGAGTGAAATCCATTAAAGTGTAAAGAAGCATAAGCAT